TGTCCGTTTTTATTTTTCTTTTTTTGCAGGCGAACGGATCAAAAAGAAGTGACAAAAAGTTGGATGAATGGACGGTTTTTATTGCTAGAGCTAGGCACCTGGTGAAGCTGAACACTGTGGTCTCAGTTTATGCCGACGCCCAACCAGATAAGAAAATTTTAACCACTGAGTTTCAAACTTCGCAGCCTACTTCAACCTATTTTTCAGAAAAACTTGTCATGATTTTCTCTGAAAAATCAAACATGATTCAGAATCAAATCTGTCAAATGACACTGGATCTCAATTTAAGAACAAGTAGTCTCACTTGTATAACAGTCAATGAATCTGAGCTTGCAAGCGAATTTAGTCAACAGTACAATGGACAAAAGTTTACTTCTGGTCAAACTGTATGTACTTAACAATTTTTGTTATTTTTATGCAAAAATATTGATAGTTTTAAATTGCAGTTTGTTTTCAAGTTTAATGACATGCCTATTCAAGTGCTTGTGGTGAGCATCACTGGTACCGGGGGCACAGATTTGGTATGTAGTTAACTTTCAGCCTAAAATATTTCATTATCAAACATTAACTTTTTAATTTTAGAAAGAGGATGGTACTTATCAATCAGCTATAACAAAAATAATTTTTAAATCCTCAATCAACGCGTATCTGAAAGTTGCCCTATCTGAATCCTCACGTCGCCAGCTACTTAGGCAGAAACTTGAAGAAACGGTTTATATAAATGCAGTGGGACTAACGGATTGGGTTCAGGCCACTGAAAACTTCAACAATTTCGAAGTATGCCAGCTAGTCAAAACTGCTCACAATCTGGCAAAAGGGGAAAATTCACAACCCATCATCAGAAAATGTGATTTAGATAATGCTCTCAAATATTTAAAACAAAGCAATACTTTTGTTTGATTTTTTTGTACATACAATATAGTATTTTTATAATTTAAGAAAAACACTTTTACAAATCGTTCATATTCCATTCAATCATCTTCCGATACGACTCTGTGTAGATAAACTTTAGTTGAAGGCATTGCTGTTTCCATGGGCTCAACAGTTCGACCATACATTCTTTGCATTTGACCTTAGACGTTTTTCTGTAGTGATCACACTTGCAGGTGATGCAGTGGAAAAAGTCATGGTTTATTTGGAGAACTTGCAAGCCAGAAAAGATGTGGCCAAGGTGTCGTGAATGAAGATCAGTGTGCGATTTAAGTGAAACGTTCAATGTTAAAACTTTTATCGAAGGTAACTGCGGTATTTTGTTNAAAAAAGTCATGGTTTATTTGGAGAACTTGTAAGCCAGAAAAGATGTGGCCAAGGTGCCGTGAATGAAGATCAGTGTGCGATTTAAGTGAAACGTTCAATGTTAAAACTTTTATCGAAGGTAACTGCGGTATTTTGTTTGCTGGCACTAAATCATCTTTGAAAAAAGGTGCTTNGAAAAAGTCATGGTTTATTTGGAGAACTTGCAAGCCAGAAAAGATGTGGCCAAGGTGTCGTGAATGAAGATCAGTGTGCGATTTAAGTGAAACGTTCAATGTTAAAACTTTTATCGAAGGTAACTGCGGTATTTTGTTTGCTGGCACTAAATCATCTTTGAAAAAAGGTGCTTTTCTAAAGAATTTTATTGCAAACCCAAGGTGTACTAGTGAGTGCAGAGGGACTAGAGTTGCTGCAAGTTGAGATAAAGTTAGCGCAATATTAAAAATTTTTATTGAAGTTAGAGAAGTGTATACGGAGCAAAACTTGAAAAGATATTCTGAATCAACCGGTGGTTTCATAATAAATAGCTGACGAAAACGTGAAACTAAACGGTGATTTATCGAAAGGAACTGCAAAGCACAAAATTAAACTTAACTAATTGTCATTTCTGAACACTTACCCTTTCATGACTGTGAACATTATTAGCGTCAATATATGAAGCAATGCCAATCTTTCTCAGCTTTCGATTTTTTATTGCAAAGCGCTCTAATGAGTTTAGTAGACATTGAGGCTCGTCGACGGTAGCAAAATAAAACTCCTCTAGCCTTGAAAGAACGGGCAGATAAATTTGATAACTGACATTGGGTTCAACAAACACAAATCGAGTGTCAAAAACCAAGGTTAGCAATCTTATAGACGGTAGAGAGTTGAGGATGTCCAGTAAGCGGTATAGCCGATCTGAAACAGTAGACCGCCTGACTTCACTTGAAAAACGACAGTAAATTTTAACCGTCTGCAAACGAGCGATCCAAAAATGAAGAAGGTAAATAACATGATCAATTGCAGATGAAGAGACTTCTTTCAAAACCATTTCTAGGTCAATGATGTTTGGAAATGAATCTGCAAGAAAGTGAACCATTTTCCAGTTTAAGTTCAGCGTTTTTAGCTGAATAAACATTGACCCATGTTGGGGGGGATAAAGTTGTTTGCCCTGATCATCAACTATTTTGTCAAGATGTGGTATGGCAAATCGAGACTCACTAACCAAGTCGAGGGCATTTCTTCCCACTAGTATACTCACTGACTTTTGACGACAGAAAACACTCCACTGAAGGGCGTGCCATTTTCGGCAAACNATCTGCAAGAAAGTGAACCATTTTCCAGTTTAAGCTCAGCGTTTTTAGCTGAATAAATATTGACCCATGTTGGGGGGGATAAAGTTGTTTGCCCTGTTCATCAACTATTTTGTCAAGATGTGGTATGACAAATCGAGACTCACTAATCAAGTCGAGGGCATTTCTTCCCACTAGTATACTCACTGACTTTTGACGACAGAAAACACTCCACTGAAGGGCGTGCCATTTTCGGCAAACAAGACCAATTTGAATCAAATCCTGCACTGGCAAAAAGGCCAAGATATTTCGAAGACAACTGTTTGGCAGGTCATTAATGCTCATGGGCGGGTAGCAATAATAAAACCCCATTTTGCCACGTTTTTCTTTTAATGATTTGAGCATTTAAACGCTCTAAGTAGAGAATCGGCAATCTGCTGAGGAAGGCACCAATTGATGATAATCAAAATTAGTTGTTTTGTACCATTAATTGTAGTATTTATTTAATTGATGGAGATATACACATAACGGCAGTGTAAGTCAAGGTCAATTTACAAGAGATTGAGATTTAAGAAGATAAAACAATTTAGTACTGGTTCAAAAAAAACTTTATTTATATTAGAGAAAACTCAGTATGTACATTTTATTGAACACATAATTAGGAGATGATAAAGGAATTTATATTAAACAAAACAAATCAAGTTAGTGAGATTTAAAGAAGTTGAGATAGAAATATNATTATTTATATTAGAGAAAACTCAGTATGTACATTTTATCGAACACATAATTAGGAGATGATAAAGGAATTTATATTGAACAAAACAAATCAAGTTAGTGAGATTTAAAGAAGTTGAGATAGAAATATAAGTGACTGAAGATACCATGGCAATATTATTGATAATACATTGCTTGAAAGTAAATTAGTTGCTTGTTCAGGTAGCTAGCCTTTAACTACTTGAATATTTTTCAATTTTGGACACTCTTTCCAAGGCTTGATCATTTCAGTGTGGCAAACGTTGAACAAACAACGTGAAATGGAGTAATGCATCGTTTGACAGGTTTTGCAATCAGTGAGGTTGTGGTCGATCAATAAGGATTCTAGATTTGGAAAAATCCAAGCGAGATGATTTGAATGAAGATCAACGTGAGATGTTAAACTGACACGAAGGGCGAGCCGTTTAAGACTAAACAGTTGTGGAATTCGTTCACGAGGGATTCGATTACTCGGTGTTATGGGTTCGATTGGATTCGAAGTAATCTCAAGTTCCAGACTGGCCATCTGTTTTAGCTGACTGAGGCTGTTCACCAGCCTTACAAGATAAAAGTTTTCTAATGTAATTTTCAAAAAATGCAAATTTTGGAAAGATGCACAAATAAAGTCAAGTTTTGCGTCCAGCGGACTGAAGGGTTTGAATGAAAGATCTACAATTCTAGAGCAGATTTTCGGATTAGTAGTGTTCAGAGAAAGCGAGTTGTCCAGTTGTTCATTGGAAAGATGAATCGACTGAATGCTAGAGCCATACTGGCGGAATGAGTCGCTGAAAAGTGAATTGAAGTGTGTGTACAAAGCAAACTTTTGCAACTGCTTGAATATGGGACAAGAAATTTGGGGCTCTTCAGGTGGAAGTTCGTTGGCAATTTCAAAGCTGAGGTGAGTCAAATTCGGAAGCGAATTGATAGCTGCAATTAAGTTTCGGATTGCAATTGAATTTTGCAAAATGTCGCCCACAATTGTAGTTGAAAAGTTGACTTCGAGGATTAGGTATTTGATAGAACCCGAGTAGTGAGTCAGGAATGCAATCAGGTAGTCAGCTTCAAATGAAGACGCATTGTTGACAGTCAGGCAAACAGAAGACAGTTGAGGATACTTTGATGTCAAGCGGTTCAGTTTGTCGGAGTTTAGCGAAGTAAACTTGTAAAGATGCGAAGAATACTTCGGGACGGTTGACAAGCAGTCTGGAAAGTGAATTGGCAATGGGTCAGCAGAGCTCAAGTACTGAGAAGTGCCTGAAATCTGGAGCACCAAAGAAGGGACATCAGGATAAGTGGGCCAGAGAGCAGAGCGAAAGAGATGTTTCAGTTTGTCAGTCCAGTACCGATAGGAGATACGACGAAAGATGTCGAGACAAACTAGACTGAAGAGGCCCCAGAGCAGGAGATCGGGGACGGCGTCAAGGTCCATTGCGTTCCAGAGTTTGAGGGGCCGTGGAGAATGGATTCAGAGTTGAAAAGTGAGAATCAGTCGGAGAAAAAAGAAAGACGCAACATTTTTTTTGTTTTGGTTGAAAAGAGAAAGCACTCTTGGAGTAGAAGCACGGCGAACGGTTAGCCACCACAGTGTCTGATGGCAGCACATGTACAGTGTAAGCACGACTTTTCCCTTATGTTACAGTAACTTTCTAGTAAAAGCCACAGACGCCCGAATTTATTCACTTTCAAAATGGGTTTCTACTTTGTCTACATAAAATGTGGCTTTTATTTGGCCAGCAACTGCTCAATCTTATCAGCCAGCTGTTCATGGCGCTTTTCCGACTGAATTCGCTTTGCTGCCACTTGTAGACGCCGTTTAATCTCCTCATCACCGAGAGCCTTCTCAACCGCTGCGATCAGTTCTGAATCTTCAAAATCATATGGCATCACCCGAACACCAAGTCCAGTTTCAACCAGACGCTGAGCGTTGTCGAATTGATCGGCGAACATGGGCATTGCGACCATTGGAGTTCCGGTGGCAAACGTCTCGGTGACAGTGTTATTTCCACCTGTAAATAAAAGTACAATAGTAGTAGTTTGGAACATTTTGTTACTGCTTCGCTCTCACCATGGGTGATGACCAAGTCAACAATCGGAATAATCTTTGTCTGTGGCAAGTACTGATCACCCCACATGTTTGCCGGAAGTTCAAACTGATCGTGGCGTGGTCCCTTTGAAACGATGTACTTGTGAGGCGTTTTTGAGAGAACGCCAGTCATGCGTCTCATCAAGTTTACATCAACACTAGCCTGCAAAATTAAAGCAAAAAATTTTTACATTTTTTGTATTTTAAACAAGCTTCTTACCATTGATCCTAGAGAAAAGTAAATGTACTTGCCAGAGAATGTCCCATTGAGATTATTTTCCATAAATTCTTTGGGTAGAATATCCTCAAGCCTTGCAACAGTTCCGCTTGCATCCACTTTATTGAATGCTTCCAAGTTGTGCCAGCCATTTTGGCGAATTTGGGGGTAGTTCAACTCTTCTGGACAGGCGTAGACGGTTAGAATTTCCGTCGGAGGAAACTTAATATCATTCGCATACGGCTCATAACCCATTTCCTTTAGGAGATTGCTGAAAACGGGCGAAGCAAAAATCTTTTTACGAAGAGAAACAAATTCAGTCCATTTAGATCGATCGCTGTTCTGAGATAGACCTGTAGGTATAATAAAAATATGATTTAATTTGATTCGATGATAAACGCAAACTTTGCAGCAGTACCTGAACCGCCTGGTGGCAAATCAGAGTCCCACACTTCGAAAAGTGGATTCATTGAGCAACTTTTGATCCACGGAATTCCCGACGTGTAAATGGCGGGTGAAAGTGAGTGCGCATCGACGATAATCACATCTGGCTGGTACTTTTTCAGCGCCACTTTCACCGCCTTGTCATTCTCCCGTATTTCCGACAAATGGTGCTCTGAATCGAAGATCTTCACCAGCTCCTGCATCTTCTCCAGTGGCGTGTAATTGCCCAACATTTTATACTCAAACAGTATTTTCGCATTGTGCTCGCCCGGGTGCTCATTGGCGCTGGCCGGCTTCTCCGTTTGATAGACGTGCTCTTCAAATCCGTGCCTGGCTAACTTTCCTCGCCATGTCTCGGGCAGAATGAACACCACTCGATGTCCACGTCTCTTCAGCTCCAGCGTTTCTCCCGTAACGGCATTCAGATGGCCCGCTTCGTTGCACGCCGACACGAGAATAGTCAACTTTTTTGGCATTTTGTATCAGTGACAGCAGAAGTCAAATGAACAAGTGAACAAAAGTATGAGTTTTTTGTCAACCGATCGGAAACAACTGTCTTATATCACTTGATGAAGACTTTGAGTCAGTGACGCGCGCGACAGAAACCGCTCCTGATAACCGATATCTGCAGTGTGTGGTCATTTTGCGCAATGCTCAACTTTGCAGTCTTCCCTCTAGGACGTTTCGTACGATTCGCCGATAGAAGCAGTAGTTTCTTCGTGGTGTATGCTTGCCAACAGTGCCTATGGTGCTGCGAAAAGCTGATAATGTACTGCATGCAAGGGTATGTATCTTCATGTTTACTCAAACTTCGATAATTGACTTTTGTAAGGATAAATGGTACAAATGTAAGAGTTTGTGATTAGCTATTTAGAGATTGTTAATTCGTGAAAACAATCAAATTGTGTTCAAACCCTATTTCTAAATTGTTTGCATTAAAAAGTTAGATTGAGGGTTCTTTTTCGGTATGTTGGAGTGAGTGCAAAGTTTGATTAAAA